AGGATTATGTCTATTTTATCAAATTTAGTGAATTATGGGGCAGCTAGTTCAAGGTCTTCCAAGTAGTTTAAACTGGTTCCGTATCGACTAATTGGAGGTTGATATCATCTCCAATACGTTGCAAAGAGAACCAGACACAATAGAGTATTGCGAGCATTGGTCGATTAGAACTCTAACTAATAAACGTACACCAGTTGAACTAATGATATATACACGAGCCGTAGCTAACAATACACCAATTCCACTAAAGGGAGGTGACTCGACGTGATGCGAAGCTTGCTTAGAATCAGGTCCCTTAGTGTTAGGGAAATTATTATCACTCCTTTTATGATCCTGGTGATTCTGACTCTGAGCAAGCTGTTGTAAATGCAGGAGAGTATGGTGCCTTCTCTTACACGTCAGACAACTGAACTTGGATTTGCAATCCTTCAACCGATGTCGACCTAAGCAATTGAAATATAGTTTATCCTTTACAACAAATTCATTACAAGCCTCGACGGAAAGAGTTTTGAAACTATCATGTTTACTCAAAGTGTGAGCGCCTTTGCACAGTAAACAAGTCAGCATTTCCTTAACAGCACGCTGATTTCTAGTGGGCTCAGAAGAAACATGGGATTGTTGGGAGACCGTAAAGGAATGTCCAGAATTTGATTTCACTACTTGAGACTTCGGGGCAGTGTTAACGATCTCACAACATTCTAAAGTTATAATCTGAGACGATATGAATTTACGTAACTTAGCGAGAGTGGGTGATTCTGTACTGCTTCCGAGAAACTTGTGCCAATACTTATTAGTAGAACCATCAAATTTGCTAACAACTAGAGCAATAGAAAGGTCACTGGTTCCCAAGTCACGGCCCAGGAAATTAAGTGAGTCTATCGGGTTGAGCATCTCTTTACTAATGCGCTTCAGTTCTGACCCTGCTTGTGATTTCATAGGCTTACATAAAATAATACCTTGAGAATAATCGTTCATAAGACGGCGCTGATTATCGTGATAATTTGACAAGGTGTTCCAAGCTAAAGTATATTGATTGGCAGTCAGTTGAATAGATTAAATCATTTCGAGAGCTTCTCCACTTATGTGCGCACGTAGTTAGTGGAATTTTACAATATTGTCTATGTCATCTTTCCTATGATCTAAAGATCAACGAAAGTTCTCCCACTCATAATACTTCCCCAAGAATTTAGGCAGTTCAATACGAAAGAGATACGAGTTAGTTGTTAACTGAGCCATCGGATTAGATATCATCAAGATTTTTTAAGTAGTATTATTGAGCGTGCCAAACTATGACTTCATTTTAAACAAACTCTTTAACAATAAACTCATTTACTTATTAGGAGGTTTTGACCATTTATGATGCTACTTGAAATGCATTCATTTCAATTTATTCAAAATCAAAGTAACATTAAAAATCCTATGATCATATATAAAATTTAAGTTTAAAACGAATTCTTTAAGCTGCGTTAAATCTTGACACTTCAGGTAGCCTGGTTGGAGTGGAACGTCTAGTGTTATAATGTTATTATTGAGTCTTATTTAAATGATTAAAAGTACTCTTTAGTACTATATATTGTTTAAAAATATGATTAAAAGTATTAACTTATAAAATAATTAGTTTCTAATAAATCATTGTGGAATGGTGTAAAAAAACAATTTATTAAAAGTAACCAAGTTGTAAGCATAAGTATCGTACGGAAGTATATGTAAGACTTTAGGCTTCCTCTCTTTGCATCTTGTAACAAGGAGCGTTAGAGCCAGAAGAAGAAAAGAGATAGCAAGGAATGAGGCCATCCAGGGAGTACATGTCAATCCTCGAAGGAAAATACATGCACGATTTTGCCTTAATAAAAGCGATATCTTTCATAAAAGTCTTTAACGTAACAAGTGTTAATTATCCATGCGATGTACCTCCTTACCAAACTCTTTTCCACGTAACATGTAACTATTTATTTTCTACTGATGAAATTTCAAATCTCAATAATATTTTGAATCATTAAAAATGTTTTGCAACAGATTTTTTTATCATGTAATCTATTACGTATATTTATTTATGTAAGAAAATGCTAAATCCAGACAGTTAAACCTCAATCAACTGTTGATTTAAAATAAAAAAATGTGTTGGAAAGTTTAAGAAAGTTCGATTTATATCATCGATAATAATTGAGAGTTCTTATTTAGTTTTTGACTCTTTCTATGTACTATAAAAAGTAAACGTACGTTTTGGGGCGGTCTCAGACATTGAGTCATAAGGACATTTCAAAATAAAGAATGAACAACTTAACATAGGCTGTGGTGGGAAAATTGTTATGACCTAAGAAAAACATACCTTAGTAATGGTTAAAAAATCGAGAAAAAATATATTTCAATACGTCAAATACTGCGGATTCATATGATCCTCTGATTTTTATTAGTATCTATACTACTTAAAGAAAAAATCAAGATTTTTTTCAATAAAAATAAAAACTTTGGTTAGGTTTATGAGATCGATGCATGTATGACATACGAATAAATTGTATTACATACTGTTAGTAATGCCGTAAGTTTCTCACACCCCTGACCCTGCTTTGCCACCCCACTAAAATATTGTGTTAAACCTCCTTAAAAGAAATTTTTTACTAAACATAATATATATAATAAAAGAAAACACTATATTTTGCAGTTCAAATATTATTAAGCATTAGAGAGAAAATGGTTCATTTGTTTATTATTGAGAACTTTTTATCAGGAAGTGAGAAAATTTTTAATGTTAATTAGCAAAATTAAACTTGTTACCTACAAAAAATGACTATTATGTTTGATGAATTCGTAGGTTAAAAAAGTTCTCAAATACTTATACAAGTTAAATAAAAAAAATTTTGGTATTTTATTATTTGAACGTTTAATCTTTACTTTCTGCTAATGTCTTAATAAATACATTTTTTATCGTACATTTTTCATACTAAGACTTTTGAGCACAGGTTTAAAAACAAATCTAAGAAGTTATTTTAAAAACTCCTTGCAATTAAATAAAATTTTGTCAATTATCAAATTAGAAATTGGCAACAAAGTGCATTTGATTCCTATAATTTTTACATTATTCAAAAAAATTATGTATCACGAGACTTACAGCAAAACAGATGCAAAGCTTTGATTTTTTACTTATAGTAGTCACCCTGATGACTTACCTTTTTTTACTTGGAACTCAACCTAATCTTTTATCAAATAATCTTAGTTAGTGTAGAAGTTTTTTATCCAGACCAATTTCATCAACCCATTCATTATAAAATAAATATCATGTCAGTGAAAGTCGTCTTACTAACCATCGCCGTTGAGCATCTGCCGCCAGTAATGTGCCAAGTGTGCTAAGGCCACCCGATAAGCTACCTGATAGGCAGTAGTCAGTCTGTTAGCTCTTACACCAAAGACTCTTGGTTGTATAATTAATCTCCCATTAACAATAAACCGAAGAATTTGTGTTCATATTGATTCTATAAATTTTTCTTTGTTTTGCGATAGTGCTGTTCAGTTTACCACGTACATTCTTTTCAAGGTAGTGACAATACATATATGTGTACACATCTTGTCTCGTACTATTTTCGGTAAAATTTTGAATTTTAATTATAGTCAAGTCAAGTAAGGTGGGAGCGGCATCACCTCAGTGGTAAGCATGCTTGTTACTGATATAACGCCGGTCGATAGGTCATGAGTTCGAGTCCCGGTGAGTGCAGATTTTTTCAATTTTCACCAGAAAGAGTTCCTATGAAACCCCGGCTGTTTCGGGGTGGATTTTTCCGTGGAATTTTCCTTCAGAATAATTCCAGGGTTTTTTCCTTGCCCTAAAAGTTTTCGGATCTAAGTGAATGTGAATCAGTGTTAGGGATATGGGTAGGAATCAGCGGATCCAATGCTAGAAGCCAGGCAGGGATCGCTGGCTTCACCGCCTAGGAGTGGTCTCTGAAACATGAGACTTCTCTGGGGATGCTAATTAGTTTGGATCCAATACTTCAGCAGAGGGTCCCGGCTTAACTAGTAAGGAGAGGAAATCTCGAAATACAGAGTCTTTTCCAAGGAAAGACTACACACTGACGAGTGGATCCGATGCACTATTGGTTTAAATAATGTCAGTTTAACTGGCAAGGTGTTTCACCAGAGATACTCACATTGTTCTCATGGTTTGATAAGGTATAGTATCAGTCAGAAGATTCGTAAAATGAGTGCGATAATTCACCTCCTTATTTAGATGGGGAGTGTGTGGTCCTGATAACTTGGCCAATAGAATGTGACGGTCATACGGTCAAAAAAAAAAGGCAAGTAAGGCATTTTATTAAAAAATTTATTTTTTTTATCACGTGAATAGTCAAAAAAAAAGTTAAAAAAAGATGTTTTAAGATGAAAATCTCTACCGATACAGCTGTTTACCATGGCTAAAAGATAATTTTTCTTTTTATCTTTCTTGTAATTATAAACACTAATGTAATAAATAAGAAATCACTCTGAATTTTCACAGTTTTGCTGGTTTGGACGCTCCTATCAAAAAATATTTTTGGCGTTCATTTACATCAACATAAAAATTAAACTGTTACACACAGTTGGGAAACGAATTCTATGAATTTAAGTGATATAGTAAGAATTTTCTTTATTGTCTCGATGAATAAAGTGTTGCATTCTAATAGTGTGGTTTTTTTAACACAAAGTAACACATTGTTAAGATGAAGGAGCTCAATCTAGCAGCCAAATAGAAGTAGCGGTACCGTTAAAAATAAAATTCTATCTACGGATCCTTCAAAGTTAATGTAAGTACCCCTTTATTTCACTTAATTCAGAAGGTACCTGTTTAAATTTATGGGTACCCATATTAGAATTTGGTATTTGACGGTATCATTGCTACGATTTGACTGCTAGTTTCAACGGTACATTGTAAAGTTTTTCTAATACCTGTTTTTCTCAATCAAATTTCCAAGCTTGTATCTTGTTCATAAGACAAATAAAATAAAATGAAAAAACATCTTTTCACATACCTCTGCCACTGTATGCTGGGCTCTGGTTCCTCATCTTCTTGCTTCTGAAATATTTTTATATTATTTGGAGCCCTGAGGTCCTTGGCCATACAGTCTATAATTGTTGATCTTTCAATTACAACTTGTGGTTGAGCATTTACAATTGCTTCTTTACTTAATTCACACTTAAACTCAGCATTGGGTGACATACGCTTTATTATCACTTTAGGCACTTTGCTGTTTTCACGCTGGTTGTCTAATAGAAACTGTGTATTTTCAATGCAAGAGTGGAGGCGTATTTGTTCTTTGGATAAGTGCCTGGTTTTTTTTGATAAAAAACTTGTATTGTTTCCACTTTTCTGTGAAACTTTATTTAAGGTGTAGTTAGGCGGTAAATCTTTCTTTACACGGGTTCTCATTTTGTCTCGTACTCTGACACTCTCAGTTTCTGTACCTGATGAATTTGATCGATTATCTTGAACAGATACTTTTCTTTGTTTTACTTTTGATAATGAGCTCTTGACATTGGTTATTTTCATCTTTGGTACTATCTTCTGCTGGTTAATGTTGCTCAGATCAATATTCTCAATGATTACTCTGGGTAGTTTTTCTTCAAGTTTTATTTTCATCTTTAAAACTTTAGCTTTCGAACTATTATCCAAGTTTTGGAATAAATGAGGACCTAATCTGTCGGCTTTGTCATCCAGTTTTAGTTTTATTCGATGATTCTTAGACTCTTCATGCGTTACTGCAAAATATGATACTTCAGATACTTCTTCGACACTAGGTGTTGTTGGTCTGGACCGAGCGTTTCGAATTATCATTTTAGGGATTTTTGGATGCATTGGAATCGTAGAGTTAGAGTGTTCTAGAGAGTATTTTTTCATCTCATCCTGACTGACATTGTCCACTGATTTGGATTTTGAAAATTTATCACTCTTGCGAATTACCAGTTTAGGTACAGCTTTGACTGCGTCAGTTATTTGAGAAACATACAGTTTTTCTTGAGCTATAAAGTTTTTGCAAAAATCGTATGAAATACTGCTCTTGTTAATCGAACAAGTAAGTTTAAGTGAAGGTTCTGAGCTTTCAGAATTTTGATTATCTTTTTTCATGGAAACTGTTTCTGTAATGCTCGAAATAGTTTTTTCTTCGGAGACATCTGTAATTGAAATGGTAGTTTCTGATTGTGCTGCTTTTTTTTTTTCTTTAACTTCTACAGATGCAATCAATTCCAAAGCTTCTTTAAGATCATGGTATTCAACTGCTTTATCTTCTATTGCAACCAAATCGTGGGATTCGGATTTGCTTTTTTTTTCATCACTCGATTCATGTATTTTTGATTTCTTGATATCTTCGCTTGGACTTATTTTGGTCCATTCTGGTGTTTTAGATTCTATATCTTTAACTGTGGGTTTTTTATTTTCTGTTTGTATTAAATACTTAGGTAGAACTTTCTTTATTGTAAATGTTTGATAACTTTCTGACTTTTCTTCGTCAGAATATTCCTTAACAGATTTTAATAAAGTACCTTGAAAGCTGCTGTTGTCTAAATTTACTTCATTTTCCATAAAAACATGTTTTTCTAGGTNCAAAATTTACATACTTTAAAATAATACGTTTGTAAATGCTCTAATTACTATCTAATTATTTCAACAAAAATTATATAACATCTATTCAAAAAAATAACCAATCAGGAATGTTTCCATCGTGCCACCATGTCTGTCTCATAGAGATAATCAGAATATTCCTTAACAGATTTTAATAAAGTACCTTGAAAGCTGCTGTTGTCTAAATTTACTTCATTTTCCATAAAAACATGTTTTTCTAGGTGTTTCAAAGTTTTTTTCAGGACTTGTTGATTTTCATCACATGGAACATTTTTACAATGACGTTTATCAAATATAGTGACATCCTTTGTTTCGTTATTTTTATTTAAGTTGTTGTCTACACTTGCAGGCCCATTTAAGACTTCATCTTGAAGATCTTTTTCCAATTTTTCTAGTTCTACCTTAAAACTAGGATCAGCACTTAATACCTCTTCTAAAACTTTAAAAACATTTGTTTTTTTTTCGTCCTCTTTTTTTTTCTCTTTACAATAATACTTCTCACAATTTTTTTCTTTATGCTCCACTTCTATCCAACTTGTTAATTTATTGTGTAATTCATAATCTTTTACTCGTGATGTACACTTAATAACTGNCTCTTCCTTAAGAGTTATTCTTTCAGTCTTTCTTATAGCTAATCGATTTTGCCACTAGGGTCTCGTGAATCGAAGTGCAATAAAGTGCTAATCTGAAAAATGAAATAACTGAACAAATATAAGCATAATAATTTCAAAACTTTTCAAATTTTTTTCTTTATGCTCCACTTCTATCCAACTTGTTAATTTATTGTGTAATTCATAATCTTTTACTCGTGATGTACACTTAATAACTGGATCATTTAATTTTTTTAGAATGTCATCTTGAAGATTTTGCAAATCTACAATACATCTATTCATACCACTGAGATTCTTTTCAGATTCTCTTTTAAAAGACACACGCATAACTTTAGTATTAAATAAATTATCTAGTAGTGGTTGAGTGTGGTTAGCGCATTTTTTATTTAATTCTACAGGCAAGGATATCACTGACTTGTCATAGTTTTTATTCTCAAGTTCTTTGGTAACACTTTTTCCTAATGTACTTTTTTCTAATAATCTGTCACTCCTCTGAGTATCAAGAAAATTGTTTCTCTCACTTTCTCTTCGTTCACTGCTGATTCTGATCTTCTCAGCCTCATCGTCTATAATCCTATCTAAAGCATCGAATCCATTATCAGCCCCAATATTTTCGAAACTCAACGTTTCTTCAGAGCACCACTCGCTTGTTGTATAATACTTGTGCCTGTAATGTGACAGTTTAGAATACTTTTCATCATCTTTTTCATTTCTAAATGTGCTATAGTGTTTACTCGGACTGTTTCTGTTGTTTAAATAGTAGTCCTGAAATAGTACATGGTCCTTACGATTACGAGCCTCTAACATCAATGCCCGATACGTAAACTGTGGATTTGGACTGTATGTTATCTTACCATCTCTTGTCGTATAAACAGGCACGACATCCAGATTTTTGAGCTCGTCAAGATGAAATACAGGATTAAGATAGCCAGTAGTTTTGCTGCTACTATTAATACTGTAAAAAGCATTTTTGTTGTCTAGTGAGCATGTTAGCTCTTTAAAGATTCCATCACCGTAGGCGTTAAAAGGTTCAACATCAAACTGATCAAAGTCAAAATTCTTAGAGCAACCAGGTATTGGTGTGTTTTCTACAAAACTTTTTTTTTCGAAACACTTAATTTCGTTAGTAAAAAGCACCGCATTGTTTTTATTATTGTTTTTCTTGGTGGGATTACGATAACAGTCATCAAGCTTCTTAAGGGCATTTTCAATGTCTTGTTTTTTTTTATTAAATTTTTTGGATCCAGAATCATTAACTATTACTAACTCTTTAGTATTTCTTTCTTTAATAAGAGAGTTTGAGACAAGGTATTTGTTGTCTTTTAAATCAACGTTTTCATAGATATCTTTGAGGAAGTCTTCTTTCTTTTTCTTATATTTTTTGGTCTCTTCAACTTTTACTGCACTCCACTTTTTCTCTTCTCGAAAATTATTTTTATCCTTATTATTTTCAATAGCTATGTTATTTTCAATAACTTTGTTGTTAAACAAGGCATTGCTGTAAACTTTAGTTTTCAGCTTCTCTGTTCCTGTAGCAGCAATCGGTTTTTTACAGTAAATCTCACAACTGGCTGGATTTTCAGATGGCAGGCAGATGTTAAGTTGACGATTTGATGCGTTGATGATCTTGCTATCATTTAAATGCTGATTTTCGACCTGTGATACATTTATCTTAATTTTAATTCTGTCGTTTGTACTTTTTAAATTCCGCGAGCTACGTACAGTAGATTCTGATTTGCCCTTGATTTGAATATTAGGTCGTAAAATTTCATTATCAGTATCAACGTAGTTGGACGAATTTGCAGTGTCTATTAGTGTTTTCTCTGTTCTCATTTCACATGTATTATTATAGACTGAGGAGAACTGTTGCATTGGGTCAATTAATTTTATACCTAGTGGGTTTGTTACTAACTTGTTTCTGTACTCTATTTTATCTGAGGTTGAACTATTGGTAGCATCAGATTTTTTGCTAGAACTTTTATAAGTAGATTTTATATTTCCATCGCTGTTGTTAGAGCTACTGTTATTCTTAGAATGTTCGTTATTGTTATTGTTGTTAATGCTCAGGCCACGGAAATCATCGATACCACACTTAAGTGTTTGGATGTTGTCTTCAATCTGTCCAACACTTCGCTTTCTCTTCAAGTTCTTAAACTCGTCAAGCAGCCTTTCTTGGTCTTGGTTACTATTACTCTCGTACTCAACAGATTTTGCTCTCTTTCTGTATGCTTTTCGTCTGAAATTTCTAAGCAATGAATCAACGGATGGACATGATTTTCTATCTTTATCAATACCATTAAATGGTCTGATGGAATTTTTTGTTGGTTTTGTTACAACTGATACGGTTGTAAGTAACCGCATTGGCAGTTGTTTCTTTGCTTCATCTAGAATAACATGTGATTTTTCTGTAGCCATGGGCATAATACCACTCTTTGCTTTTCGAAAATACCTCAGACTACTTGTTTTTCTAGACGAACTTGGACAGTCAATTTGTACTTGTTTTTCTGCAGTAGACCCGAACTTTTCAAGGCCTGTATCTAGATGAATGTCTAACCAAATGTCATTGACTTTTGTAAGATCATCGTCCGAGTCTATGAAACGAAAATCCGTAATCGGTGGCGTATCTTTAATTATTTTGGTGAGACAGTTTCCATCCATAGGTGGTGCTGGCATTTTTGGCTCTTCATGTAGTAGAATCGTGGATGACGAATTTGAGAGCTCGGAAAACTCAAAAACTGACGTGTCAAGCAAAGACGTACCGCGTGGCTCCAACAGCGCCTGACTTGGAGTACCTTTTTCTTGATGAATTTGACACTTGGACATCTTTGGCGTTGCTGAAAAATGAGAAAAATTGGTTTACTTTAGTGTTGCAGTTATTAAAAAAGTTATATATTTTTTAATAACAGCACCGTTACTTATAGTCGTATTTAAAATCTCACGAAATTTCATTTGTTTTACATAACCATATAACTGTTGAATACAAATATCCGTTTTTTAAGGTAATTATGGAAGTACTGATGAGTTACAAAAAGTAATTCTTTACAACATTTTTTTTGTTCAACGTTAATTTTATATTTTTTAATTGGTAGCGTGACATCATCACTTTTTGAGCTTATCAATATAAGAGGATTGACAAAGCTTAAAACATGAAGTCTTTTACTGACTCCTAAGAAACATAAAAAATATTCTAAACATTACCAAAAACATGGTCACTTGAAACTGAAACTTTTTTAATACACTAAAAGAATCAGGAAATAAATTTAAGCTAAATTAGCAATCATATAAGTTTAAAAAATACCGTTACAGGATGAATATTTGTGCCTAGAGATGGATGGACATAACTTATAAGACTTTTTTCGTGTGTATATTTCACAATTTCTGATTAGTAAAGAAAAACCATGATGTAAAAATAAAAGGTGTGGCGTTGCGCATCCATTTTGATTAACCAATCAGGAATGTTTCCATCGTGCCACCATGTCTGTCTCATAGAGATAATATAATAGAAGAAGCGAACTGTATATTTATCTGTAAGTGGAAGCGTACGGTCAGTAGACAGAGGAAGACGACTGTTTTGGTCTTGCATCTCTCTCTTCTCTCTGCATTGATTGGCTGCTGCTTGACAGTGTATATAGTAGTAGTAATAGTAGAGCAGTAGGTATATATATTGAATTAGAGGCAGAAGAGGGCATTTAATATAGTCAATCAGGATAAGAGCAGAGAGAGATGCAAGACCAACACAATCTTCTTTCTCTGTCCATCATCTGTATTCGGTCACGGCTTGTTTGCTTCCTCTATTATACTATCTCTATGGTCTGTCTGCGAATTTCAAAAGCTTTTAAAATACAAAGCGTATCAACATCAAAAAACTCGTGAAACAATATACATTTTTTATTTTAATATTTTCATTCCAGTTGTTTCAGTGGCCAAACGCACAATTTTTCAATATGAACACAGACAAAAAAACTGACTAAATAGGTAAAAAATGATCAGTTGACATATATATATATGTATACATATATATCTCTATACGTATTTATGTATCTCAATTTGAGGTGAGAGGCATGGGATAGGTTTTAGTTTCAACTTTAGCCACTTCGTTTAATTGCACAGGTTCTTCGGTGCTGTATCACATCTCCCTCAAATGTGGTGACGTGACAGAAGGCGCCAAATGACATAAAATTAAGACCTTGAAACGCCACACCCTGTATTTTTACATCATGAGAAAAACACGTACTTTATAATGTTTTGATAAGATTACACTGTTTTTACACATTTTTATTTTTGTCTATGTATGTGCATGCATATTGAATCAATGTAATTAAATTTTATGACCAAAATAGCAAAAATGGTGATGATTCTAGTACAGTTTGAGTACATACAGTTTTTTTTTTTTCATGTTTTAGTTTTTAATTTTGAATTTCTAATCGTACTTTACTACAAGAGCTTTTCAAGCTTTATTACTACCGGGGGTCCCCGACTTGGTAATTTTTTTTTTTCGACTTACGAAAAATTGCTATCATAGAAAGAGATGTACTGCATGCAATTTAATGACATCCAGTCTTGTACTGATATTAAAAAATTTAAAAAAAAAACAAAAAAAAACAAATTAAATGATTCTGTTTCTTATATTTCGTTCCAATAACCTTAAGATACGGTTCCAGTGATTTGGTAATATCTGAATAATTATCACTCCTTACAACTCATACATGCATTAATTATATAAATGCTGTTATTTGCATCAATTCTTATTCCAAAACCACTTTACCTGGACCAAAAAGTATTGCATAAGGTAGTAGAAACAATAGGTAATAGTAATGGAGAGAGCATATTTAAGAAATAGAGAGAGAAAGTGACAGGCAGAGTAGCCTAGGGAGAGTAGCATAAGGTGTAGCATAGGATGAAGAAAAATCAGTACTGAAGCAGCAGACCAGATTTCCAAGAGTCAGCTGTGCAGTCAAGCCATCGTGGAGACCGGGACGAATTCAAGACACCGTGGGTTGGCTGCTAGGATATTCGCTCCAAGCTAAAACAAAGGATCTGCCGTTTAAATCAGATATTTGACAAAAGTTCTTGCATGTGAATAAATGGCTCAGAGCATGCACACATGCATATAGCGCTTGTGATTGGTAGGCTCACTGAAAGAGACTGCAGGAGGGGATCTCGGTCTCTCTCTAGCCTGCCTATCACAAGCAACCACATGCTATGGGGCCTTTGTTTAGATGCAAGAACTTTTGTGAAATATCTTATACAGAGGGGGCAGCCTTTGGATTGGCTCTGAGCAAACAGAGAAGGTAGTTGTACCGTGTATAGTGCAGCAGACTTATATGGAAATAAAAATGTTTAAGGGCGATTCAAGCGAGCGAGCTAGAGTGTGTGTGTGGGTAAATGGGTGTATGTGTATAGGGATGACAATAATAAAAAGAAGCGCGAGTAAGGATGTAGGAATGTATAATCAGTTTCAAGGATCCGAGTCGCGTCGTTGTTAGGATTATCGATATTCGTGAAACGCGTTCGGGAATAGTAACAAATTCAAGATGTGTATAAGATTATGTGTGAGTGATATAGGTAAGGGCCCAAGATTACCAAGCCAAGCAAAAGTTTGATTGAGAGGGCGATGAAAGCCTGCAGACCAACATGAGCATCTCTATATCGCAATAATTGCATATACAAAATGATATGTAACGGTGGCGTTTCCCGAGAACCACGTGTAGAGCGATTTTTTCTGACGCGGACCCCGTTGGAATTAATTTTTCAGGGCGAATAGCTTTTAAATGGGAACCGATTGAAAATACGTTCCAAACTACCCCTAAATGGGGTTGGAAGACTATAGCGCGCCCGCATGAACTCGTGACGTTGCCACATTGTTATTGGAGCTTAGTCGGTAAGCAGTGAGAACTATATCCATGTGCGCACGCAAGAGCGTCAGCTACTGCTGGTAACTTGAAGGTTGGATGTAAAAGGGTAAATATTGTCTGCTCCTTATATTTTCAGTTGTTTATCCACGCGCTTACTATCTTTCTCACTCTCATGTTGGACAAAAATATCTTTAAATTTTTCTACTGAAGTAATGTTACCTCCAATTAAAGTAAAAGACCATATCAGTAGGGATTTTTCCACTCTACACGATAGTATTTTTGCAAAAATAGTCGACCTCTCGGTCAAAAATATTGTTGTCAGGTATATCTTGCTAACGTTCCCTGATATGCCGTTGGTACACGATTTAGAACGAGTCCATTCATAAATTGCAATAATCAAAGTATATTAAAGTTGATATTGCTCATAAAAATCTTTTATTTATCATCAAAATTTACATACTTTAAAATAATACGTTTGTAAATGCTCTAATTACTATCTAATTATTTCAACAAAAATTATATAACATCTATTCAAAAAAATCATAAACTTTACAGTGTATTTAATAATAATTAAAAAATGTCACGGTAATAAAATGTTTGGGTGATGTACATCTTTATTCAGTTAAAACTTAACCATCAATATAAACTGACACAACGAGAATGAAAAATGTTTTACAACATACAGAAAATAAATTTAATCGAACTAAGTTCCTACCAAGTGCCCGGGAAGTGCTTGGCAAGTGCCCGGGAAGTGCCCGGAAAGTACCCGCCAAGTGCCCGGGAAGTGCCCGGGAAGTGCCCAGGAAGTACCCGGGAAGTACCCGAGGAAGTGCCGGGGAAGTACCCGCCAAGTTCCCGGGAAGTACCCGGCAAGTGCCGGGGACGTACCCGCCAAGTACCCGGGAAGCACCCGCCAAGTTCTTGGCGGGTAATTCTTGGGCACTTGGCGGTACTTTCCGGGTACTTGGCCGGTACTTCCCAAGTACTCGGCGGGTACTTCCCGGGCACTTGGCGCTCTACACGCGGTTCTCGGGAAATGCCACCGATACGTATCATGCTGTATATGTACATATGTAGGAGCACATAGTGGCTTAGTTACGTCTCAAATAGAGCTTAATAAATATCGTAAGTGCGCTGTGATATTTATATAAAAAGGAAGTTGCATTTTTTTGTAGTTTATTGGTACCCCCTTGTCCTCTTTTTCATTTCTTTTTTAAAAGTTTCTGGCGTTTCCGAGCAAGATACGTGTGGCAGATCTTCTGAAGGAGAGGAGACCAGTGAGTAGGGACGAGGTAGGTAAAGTACCTAGAATTTTGTGGCAAGCTGTTGGGATGGCTGCAAACCAAAATATCCTCATTATCTGTAGCTAACACAAAGTTCTGAGCTCACCTTTATCGCTGCCATCCTCAATTACAGCATTCTTGGTAGTAAGTAGTGTGGCACTCGATGTATCTTCATTTGAGTTAGGAAAATCAAAGTGAACTAGCTCATCATTAATCGGAATCTTCCGGAACTTGTCTAAACTGCTGGGTAAGCTAATCATTGAGTGCTCAAGTCGATGAGATGAGCGTTCATCACCTAGGTCTGGGCTCGCTCCCTTACCGACATTTTCTATGTTATTTGGTGACAAATCCTCGCTATCCGAGTGGCTTGGGGTGTTAAGAGTTGTTGTACCAGCTGAAGTTGGTAGTTCAAGAAGACTGAGGTCATCGTTTTGCTGATGAATTTCTTCATTTACAAAGCCTGTGCTTATTAAATCGAGGCTGTTGCTATTGGCATTTACTGTGCTGACAACGTTATCACTATTGGTGCTGGACATAGTTATTGTCATTTTATTTATCTTTGCCGTTTTCGTAGGTGCAGTGATGCTTCTGGTACTGGTTGTGGCAGTGATAGTTTTGGCCATAAGATTGCCGGTTGTGGGCGAGTTTGGTCGTTCTTGGGCTGCTTGCTGTTCCGTAGTTGGCTTGGTGGCTGGCGTAAGCGAAAAAAAAAAAAAAATTAAACAAATAAATAAAAAAAAAGAATGAAACACATGCTTGATATGATTTTATTTAATATAAACAAATAAGCCCTTTAATTTTTTTCGTGTTTACGCTTGTTTAGTTTATAAACATAGAAAAAAAACCTTTTTTTAAATTATAGACTGCTTAACTTCGTTTCCAATCATACTAAAAGTACAAAGTATGTAACTTATTAAATTTAATGCCATGAGTTATGAATCATAATTATTCTTTATTAGTTGTTTTGCATTCTCACGTCCTTTTGAAGACTCTTACATGCCTTACAACAATTAGAACAATAATAGTAATCGAAGGAAGCCAGGAATGAAGCGTTATTATTATTTTTTTTTTATTCACCTAAAACAATATTTCTTCACTCAAAATAACCTCATCAGAACGCAATACAATAAGTTTTAAAAAATGTCTTATTGCCCAAAGAACGAATTATTAGTGTAATTATCACAAAATTAATTTAAAAACCCCGTTTTACATCGACCATACTTAAAATTAAATGCATAGTTTTAGATAACATGAAGGTATGTGGTTACACGTGTAACTAAACGATTAATGTTAAATAAGATCAGAGAATAAAAAAAGGAGCAAATAACCAATTGAAACTCATAATATTACCACAAACATCATCAGTCATATTCTTGGTACTGCTGATGACATCAATATTAGCAGCAGTGGAGGTAACTATCTTCTTAGTCTTTTTGTTACAATCGTCTTGCAATATTGCAGTATCATTATAGAACGACAATGATATCCTGTCATCTTTGCTGTCAACAGTTGTAGTACTTTTGTTGACCAATTCCTCTATACTTTGAATATCTGCAGAGTTAAGACTATTGAAGGCTCCCTCTATCTTCTTGACGACCGCCTCATTCTCCAGACTATCTATTATATGTATCGTTGGTACCTCGTCCGTTCTGGTTACACAGCGTATGATGTTAACCGTCACTGGGATCGGTGAGCCCTTAGTTGCAGTCATTGAATCAGTAGCTGTCATCGTTGTTGTTGTTATCGTCGTTGTTGTCGTTATCGTCGTTGTTGTCGCCTCAACTACTGGATTCTCAGCATCTCCACTCGCAGAAGGTTCATTGCTGCTTATACTACGTATACTTGTGCTGACAGTGCTTTCAGGAGAAATTTGATCCTTTGATTGCTTGATGGTCGTTAACTTTGGTTGGGATAGAGAAGCTTCCTTGTCATCAGCTGAAGCGGAGACACAAATTGCCTGGGTAATAGCAAAGTTCTCAGCTGAACTGATGTTGACGTTTTCTACCACTACAAATTCTGTTGGCTGGTCAGCGTTCGATGCTACTATTACCACAGCCTATGTGAAACACGACAGAATTGGAGATGTTAATGAATTGTGGCTTACCTACGAGATTGTTTGTTTAGCTCGAAGCTTAATTGGTTTAACAAGGCTGTATCTTTACTATGACAGTTAGATTATTAGGTTGTTGCCATGATTTACGTTTTCACAGGCGTACATGGTTTAAGTCACATGTTTAATAAAATTGAGGGTACATGATGAATGAAGTCTTGTTAAATTACAGCGTCAAAAGTAAATAAATGTCAAGAAATAATTTTTAAGCTATGTTGCAAGTTCTTTGTTGTAAATAACTGTAACTAATTGACTCTTTATTTGTAACATAAATAAGTGTCTTTCAATAAACAGGTTCATTAAAAAAAGTGAATTACTTGTCTTATCCTGCTGATAATTAGTGTATCAATGTGTTCATTGTTGATGAAAGATTAGTTTTTGTCAATGTGCAAGATTCTTTGTAGCTTCCTCGATTTCAACACATAATTTTGATGAAGTGTTTTTTCTTGTCAGTATAATAAAGTGTTAATTATATAGTTTCTGAGAAAAAGTGTTTGCAATAGTTTAATTTTGAACGTGTCAGCTGCAGGTACATTGAGGATCGTCAGGATTTTTATAACTGAGAGGTCAAAAAAAAAAAAGTTCTTCTACCGCTGCTCAGAAATACAATCTTATCGTACATGAACAAAGAGAAATAAGTTACATCAATTGTTATCTTTAAAAATGAGGTAGAGTTGCAACCAACAAATTTCAACTGTATTTTTTATCGTAGCTTCACAGTAATTTTTTTTTTGCAGAAAAATTAAAGTCCGGTGTACTTTTACAACGATATTACAGGGGTCCGATAGCAAGACTTCGATATATCTGGATACCATTTGATATAGATCTTTGGTTGGTCAGATTATTTTAAACAAACTAAAGGATCACTGCAGAAACCAAATAGAGCGCGCATTTTACGGTACATTGAACAACATTAGGCTGTATCAAAGTGCAGTGATCAGACATCTATTCATCCCCTGCTAACAGAAATTATCTCGAAAAAAAATAGCGAGGAATCATTTCAAGAAAAGAAAAAACTTAACGCGTTACGTTCAATGATCCTTTAATGTTCAAGCTATTCTCACCATTATCATATTATCATTATTCTATATTATTAAGCCAACAATATTATCGTAAACGTTTTCATTTTGTCTCATGACGTCGTTTTGTTTCATCATTATATCAACAGTTTTAATAGTTATGCTGTCAGTTTTTACTCTTACTACAATACATTGCTTCAGCCGTGTATATACGGCGCAATTGGAATTTGAGCAAAGTAGTTCTAAATTTTCAATTCTTTTTTGACACTGTTTAAATATTGTACCAAAACAAGAGCATACATACGTTGTACTTCAATTATAATAAACATAAACTGGTAGCATAGCTAGAAAAAATTTTTATTTGATATTGAATCACGTCACTATCATAAGAATCATTTTCATAATTGTTATAAGCATAATATCGAGTCAGTTGAGAAAATGCTTACGTCCTGTAACTGTTCCTCTTCTTCGACTTCGTCTGTCTCCTCCCAACTAGCTAGAAATTGTCTGACATCAATCTCAGGCTTGTCTGCAAAATCTTTGCTTGCCTGCAGCCTCAGCACTTCTATTTCTTTGTCAAGCTGCTGCTGGCTCTGCTGATGGCGTTGGTGTTGCAGATTACACTGATGGTTAGGAATAGAAGGATAGTGAAGAATGTGAGGATGATACGAGCCTGAATCATGATAGCTTTGAGTAAGGTAATGTTTCTCCAGGCCTGGATTAGTCAGCGTGGGTAGACCAGACATTTGACTCAACATCTGGCCATGTGTGGAGTTGCGGGTATACTGTTGCTGGGCTATCGTATGTTCTAGTGCTTGCATAGTTTTATCTGAAACAACGGTGGAAGTTTTTAGAACGTGGTTTGTTACGACAAATTGAAGAGAAAAAGAGTAAACTACAAAAAATTAGGACGTGATTATATTTCTACAAAAGACAGACAAAAAGTGAAAAATATGTGGTATGACTATAACTCAATAGGTTGAATAGCTAAGTGTCCGAAGGTTCGATGCAAAGTAAGTACCAAAATATTATACTCGCTGGCCGGTTTAATATACGGGCCGTAAGAGTGGTATAACTGCAGTACTCGAGTGCGCAGTGTAAGAAAGTACCTCAAGAATATCTTACTATTATATAAAGAGACAGCGTTTGTTTGTATGTTTGTAAAAATCTCAAAAACTGAACCAATCGATCCCAAACTTTGACAGTTTAAATACAACCTCCAATGTGCCATAGGCTATTCAAACTAACGATAACCTTAATAGAAATATTTTTATGCTACTTATAAAAACTAACTGCAATACAGGTCTAAAAGGAATTTTTGACTTTTGACTGCTAGAGGGCAAGCGGTTATGTTTTCAGTAATACTTTACATTGACTGAACCGTTCCCGCATTTAGTTTTATGGAGTTACTTCAATAAGTCAAAGTTCGCAGTAGACTTCAGTAACATGTGACACGTATATCAGCACATAGTCTATGTTGAGTGATAACACGTCTCATGAAATTTCATATCTCATGAAATTTTGATCGTTCCTGAGCGTATGTATGTAGAAAAAACCTTCAATCTTACTAATAGGAATTCGATACCTAAAAAAAGTATCGATACTCGATACTTCCGAAAATTGATACTTAGAAAAGTATAAATATCAAAGAACCGATACTTTTCTGAAAGCATCGAGTACTATTAAAGTATCCTTAAAAATTTTAAATTTATTTTAGTCCTCCATTAAGTTTTTATGACTTCAAAAGTTTGTGTTTACCTTGACATTTCGTTCAGAACCAAAAAATAATCTAGCACAAGTTCAAAGAAAACATTTTAGCAAAATGAATATTATTGTCATTAAATAGTCCAAATAAATACTGGATAAATTTTATTCATTAGAAGAATAATTAGTTTTTGATCACTGTACATACGTTGTAAGAGCTTAAATAATTTTTGCTATCACTGATTACTAAGTTACAAGACTAAGAATATATTTTTCAAACAGGATCAAACTCGTCATTTTCTGAGGAGGAATACAAGATAAGTAATTTAGGCACATTTCAAATAAGCGTTGCTTTATCTGTACTCTTAATTATTTATTTTTCAAATTTTGTTAGTACAGACAGTAAACAGGATACGTATATTTGAGGTGGTTGTACATACATGAGAGACTTACTGCATTTGCAGTACTTGCATGTTCAAGTCAAATCGCTGTAAGCCCATGAGAGTGCGAGAGAGATGCCAGAATATGTATTCCCTCTCTCGCACTCACACGGGCTCATAGCGATTTGACTTGAACCTACAAGTGCAGGTCTCCTGTGTACAGGCATCTTTAGATTAGCACGATTCATGCTTATAAAGTCGTGAATATTAAATTACTATGTGCGTGAAAAAGCTGGGATTATCTTTTAATAAGATGGCTAACTCTTGAAATGATGAATTTATTTACAAAATACTGGTACAAGAATTTATGATTATAATTATCTCTTATATAAAGGATGCATAAAATAAAACATCTGGATGTTTTTCTCCATACTTTGTAAGTATTAAGTATCGTAAAACCGATACTTTTGTATACCAAAAAGTATCGTAAAAAGTATCGATATCCAGCACAAGGTATCGATTCAGTATTGATACCTCAAATAGTATCGACAATTTCTACTTACTAATATATAAAGCTAAGTTGCAAAAACCGTTGTGATCACTAACCGCAAAAACTACTCAACTGATTTTGATGAAATTTTTCATACTGATTTTTAAATATGATAATATGTATTTGTATTCATTGTAGCGATTAAAAATAGAGATATGATGTTCTAGGACTTTGTTGCTCTGGTAACAAAGTTTCAAGACTAGAAAAAACAATTTGTTAACCAAACAATTATTGTCACTTTTAAATCTTTACAGTATTCACCTTTTCATTTATTCTAACGTGAGAAAGTGCAAATCAACGACTATTTGGGGTCAACAATTATTTTATGGCGTAAGGAACGCATAGTTCTGTTCAGCATCATGATACTTTTTTCACTTTTTACAGCTTATTATTTGACCAAATAAACTGCTTGGATTCAGAAAAACAATGTTTTCAATACGAAGTTCTTGATTCTAAGATGTGTCAAGAATAGATATGAAATTTTGAATTCAAATTGTTTTATATTATATGTCAACACATTCTGGTGTTTCATTTAGTAAGTCTCGGGCGAAGCCAAGACAGGGTGCTGTTAGTACATATATATGAGCAAACCCAGGAATTTTTTTATTTTAAGTAAATGAACGATTTTACATTGGTGTCAAGAAAATGTGCAATGAAAGTGAATTTCTCATTTTATCTTTCCCTTCACCTCATCCCACTAGTCCCCTGTACGTCGCCACGTCTCATCATGCTGCAGAGCTACACCAGCAGTATAGTCCCCTCTACACCTGCCCACACCACAGCCAACTCCTCTGTTCCACGCCAGTCCCTTCTTATTCCCACCACACCACACATTTTGTATTTTAAGAATTTTATAATTTCTTTTAAACCAATTCTTTAAAAAGTCTCCAAATAAATTTGAATCTCTGACCTCCTGCACACGAGCCTAATACTCACTTCACCATGAGTAGTCTCGACAAATGGAACTCGATTGCTTCTTCTTATGGTGTAGTTCATATCTTATTTTTAGAGAAAATTTTCATTTGATGTTTATTAATTATTTTGGCTTGATTATACATAAGAGTATTAAATAAATAATTTATTTCGTAAACTAATTTTTAGTAAAATGTTTTTTGCGAGAACTTAGAAATTAGTATATTTTAGTAGACCAGCTTTCCTACGTATTAATGAACATTTATTAACTTACGATTAATTTTTTACTTTTAGAATGAATATATAATTGTTTACTAAATTTTTTACAATTTTTAAAATTTTCAAAAATTAGAAAAAAAATTTTTTGTACTATAAAAATACGATAATTGATTTTTGTTGCATTATCTTCTTTCACAAGTTTTCCTTTGTGATTGAGGTGATTTCTCGACTTAAGCACGCTTATCACACAATTAGTAGGGTAAAAGTTCAGCTCAAAGTTCAGAGAGGTGGGAGGAGTACAAATATATGCAGCAACGCTGGAAATTATTTTTTCCGCCCTCGAGTGGTTTTGGGAGGCTGGTACTTCCTCGGGCGAAAAAGCAGTTTTCCGGAACTCGTTCGAAAAGTCTCCTTTACGAACCTCGTTACGTCCCTCGCCTTCGGCTCGGGCCACAAACCTCCCAGTTCGCAAACAGAGACTTTTCAAACTCGTAGAAAAACTACCATTCTTATAAGGATATAATTACATACACGCCTTTACGCATACGTTATCACTTCATTCTTGTGTTATTAACGAAAAAAAAAAAAAAAAAAAACTTGTAGATCTATGTGAAAATGAGACAGGTTTATTTTAAAGTAAGGATATTCTGAACTGAAAACTATTGATTCTGCTATAATACGATACAGGTAAATTTATTCTTAAAAAGTTGGCTAGCTATTCAGATAAGTTGTAAGTAGGTAACCCGGTAGAGAGAATTATGAGTCTTGTTGGATGACCAGGTTTGTAAACTTTTATTAGTCGGTAACACTTTTGAAATATAACTTTTTTTTTATCTTGTAAATATTTTGTTACAGTCCAAAAACAAGTGAGTTTTATTAAGTCTTCTGGGATGGAAGTTTTTGAGATACTACTATTTAATAGAAAAACGCAGGTAACGTCAGTACTAAATGATATAAAAAGCCTAATCGTGACAATGTATCTTCTAATGTTTTGTTACATTCTCCGATTTCACAAAAAATAGGTGTTGTTTATTGACTTGTCGACAAAGCAATAAAATTTTCAATGAACTTTACATACTTACAATTAACTCATTTAAATAGACAAATAATCACCTTGTTAATTTTATTAAAAAATATACTAGGATTCGTATTATCATGATTAAGTATCGAAACTGCGTAGGTGTCCCTAATAGAACAAATAGCGAAGTTTTTGTTAACATAATGCTAGAATATACTAAAAATTTTAATAGCACTGTTAAATATAATAAGATTTGGGCGGTTTTGAGTAAAATGCTGGATAGCTCTAAAATGTAGAGATCATGCAAATGAATTACACTAAATTATAAAAAAAAAAAAAAAATAGGTAGGTCAACACATTTGTTTTCGAGAAAATCGCTTGTGAAAATTTGTCACTTCAACACGTAACCTTACAAAACCTGAAATTTAATTGACTACCATACCGCAATAAAAAGCTGTGGGTCCACACATTAAATTGGTACATGTAGTTTAGACTGTAAAGAATCTATTAAAAAAAAAAATATGCGATTAACACGTCAAATTTTGAGAAAATAGTGAGGAAAACGTCAAACGTGAAAATTGTTTTGTTCAGGTATTGTGAGTGCGCATGTTCCATAAAAGTTGCAACAGTGCATCAATAAGATGGCACGCCGTTTAAATAGACAGCATACGTGAACGCTAATAATGGTACATTCTGTATACTAGTAATTAAAAAGTAATATTAATAAACTAAAAATGAAATGATGTAGTTATTAAATAATCACTAATCAAATATAATAAGCTATGTCAGAAGCATTTGTTAACTATTCTACAGCTTTTATAACAAATAATATGTACACTATTTTCTTTTATTCTGCTGGTTACAAATTTTTAGGATGATTCGTTTGTTGGTGGTAACTCGTGGTTTATTGTTCATATTTTCCCCTAACAGGAATGTCAAACTGTCTAATCCTTCAGTTTCAATTGCTTTGAAGAGCATTGTTTAATAAATTCCAGCCTGAGAAATTTGTTTCCGCAACTGGTTTAATGTTTGTTAAGTCTGTCATT